CTCATTGTCATCCGCTTTGCAGAATTACGGTGACACGCAAGGGCTTTCGTGCTCTAAGCCCGTGGATGAGACCCCAGTTCCTTCAGGAGGGAGACCAGATGGGGACGTTGTGTCGCCGCAATACGGTCACTACGGACGCGTCCCTTATGGACTGGGGAGCGGTCCATCAAGGACGTCCAGTCGGTGGAGTCTGGACAGAGGTACATCGTGGCTGGCACATAAATCGTTTGGAGATGCTTGCGGTTCTCCTGGTTCTCAAACAGTTCTTACCCCAGTTGAGGGGTTATCACGTGTTAGTCGATTGTGTTGGAGGGCCTGAAAGGCCATCCTTTTGAACCGTTGGAGTCTGTGTCAGAGAAGCTCTTGACCCTCAAGACGGTTCTTTTGGTGGCTTTATCCTCCCTTAAGAGGGTAGGGGATCTGCAGGCTCTCTCCATCAGTCCTTCGTGTATGGACTTTGCCCCAGGACTGTTTAAAGTCTTTTTGCGACCTAGGCCTGATTATGTTCCTAAGGTCAAGTTGCCCTGAATCTCTGTCCGGTTAAGGCGCTTAGGATCTACGTTGACCGCACGGCTCAGTGGCGTAGATCTGATCAGTTGTTCGTGTGTTTTGGTGGTAAGAGCAGAGGTTCTGCTGTCACTAAACAGCGGATGTCACACTGGATAGTGGAGGCTATCTCTTTGGCCTATGAGGCGCGTGGCTTGACTTCGCCTCTTGGGGTGCGTGCTCATTCTACAAGAGCAGTGGCTTCTTCATGAGAGGGAACATCTCGGTTACGTATGTAACCTTGGTTCCCTGAATAGGGGAACGTGATGCTGTGATGCTGGGCCGTTCCGTACCTTGATAGCGCTTTCTTCGTAAATCAGTGGAAATCTGATGAAAATAGCGCGCAGCATGCTGATATAGCTCACCTACGTGCGCATTGGGGGCGGTGCTAAGCGCTATTTGGCCAATGAATTGGCGTGATGGTATAAGGGCTTCAGACATTCGTCACACCGAAGGTGTTCCCAAAGCGATGACGTCATCGCAGCATCTCGTTCCCCTATTCAGGGAACCAAGGTTACATACGTAACCGAGATGTTTTATGCGTATGTTGCTCTGTCAAGCGGCAGGAATACTTTTATGTAGGCCATTCTGAGTCAACACCATGCTTTTCCAATGAGGGGGAAAGGACTGTTTTCCCCCACGCCGACTCCTCCCACACAGCTATGACGCGACACAGATCAAGTCTATAGAAATCAAGAAACAAAACATGGTTAAATGTCCATAATCAATTAAATCTAATTCTAATTAAGTCTAATTGTTACGGGGCTGACAAGACGTGAGACGTGCGGATCCATGTGCAAGCTTTTATTTAAAGCAGAAGAGGTCAGAAACACAGGCAGGGTCGAACAATGGCAAACAGGTATATGGCGGGCAAGACACAAGAATAATCCTAGGGCTAGCGTAGGTCAACGATCGGCGAACAGAATCAAAAGGGCGAGACTAGAGGGATAAATCCAGGAAAACAGGCAAGGATCAGAAACCAAGAACACAGACAGGGCAAGACTAGGCTAGGACTGGGAAACTAACGAAGGCTCTGTAAAGTAGCTATCACTGCTGGCGATAAGCGCATACAATACTCGGCCGTGTGAAAGGGATCTGAGTGAGTGTTATATAGTGAATGTGTGATTGGTTACAGCTGTGTGCAATCAGTGCTGTGTGCAATCAGTATAATGGATGACGGGATATGTAGTCCGGGATGATG